CTATAATCCTTTACCTGCTATTTTTTACGTGAGTCTTCCTGCGATTGCTCGGAGTTAAAGAGTTCTTCAAAGTACATCGCCTAAAAAGGTTCTCAATCTAAGAGGGCTGTCTTTCGGGACTCTACCTTGTTTGCCGTGTGAAAATTTGATTCCCTGCAGCATCTCACTGAACTTGTCCCAGAAATCTTCTTTCGCTGACGCCATGCGTGGTTCTCCGTGCTGCGTTCGAGTTAAAGGTTTTATTTTTGTACTTCCGAGTTATCTCTTGAATACAGCCCTTTTCTCGGTGACAGATAGTTTATCCTCCGGTGTTTATCAAGAAGTTCGTTTCTAACCTCCAGGTGGCAAACTAACCCCTTTCAAATCACAGAATTCGGTGGGAGCCCAGAGTTAACCGGTATTGAATAGCGTCTAATCGCTTTTCACGTCAGCCATCATTACGATATGCTCAAATCTTCGTGCGACGTTGTTTGCAAGATTCGCCCTCGTATCCTTCGAAAATAATATTTCCCATTTGATCCTCTAGTTGTATCTGCCATCAGATTTTCGCATCGTACTGCATTTCGTACAGCATAGCGTTCCAACAACAAGGTGATGATCGGTTGATAGCTGTGTGCCTTTCTTAACCCGAACGTCCATTACCCAGGGTCTTAAGTCAGATGATTGTTTATCAAATCGATCATCAAATTCTGGCACGAGCTTCCCGGTATCAGATATACTGATGCACTCTTCGATGTGCGAAGAAGGTGTTCATAATGGGCAGTCCGCTGTTTGCACAAAACCGCAAGAACTTCATGCCGTTATTGTTGAGGTCTCTAGGGCCGTTCTTACCACTCAAGTTGTTCCACTTTTCAGCGCCTGCTCCATTATGCGCGTTAAATTCGCCCATGAGAATGATGGTCTCTGTACTTGGCACTTCCTACAGCACACACTTTACTTTCTGAAGGAATGAGTCATATTCTCCTTCTAAACTGGGCACATAGAGCTGTAACAAGGTCACAGCTTTACCCTGTTGTAACATCTGCTAGATGATTGCGATTCTTCCGCTGACAGGCTTACACTCAAAGATTCTGGCAGTTACCCCAACTTCCTCTAGAACACCTGCACTGGCCCGAACGTGTTGTGGTGCCAGCACTTAAGTAGAATCGCTTATACCCATTCAGCTTCAGAATTCCAAAGCCTTGGCGCATGATGTGCGTTAGTTGAGCTATGTCCAGTCGATCCGTTGCGGCCTCATTAACTGGTTCCTGTTCTCTTCCTCAGTCAGGATTTGTTCCATTACCGACTGTAAGCTCCCACTGTCACATCGTTCCCCTAGAGCCTTATCTGACTTCAGAGCGAGTATCGACTCTTATAGACTGGTATCTTCACTTTCTTCTTGTCAATTTTCAGCAGCCCGTGAGATAGTGTAATAATATACATTATTGTCACATTCTTAGTGTTCAGGACTCAGTAGCATTCTGAACTCTGTTAAAGCCGGCTGTTTTTTCATCGTTCCATACCGCTGTCGTGGCCTGGGGAACACACACTGCTTCAAATGCAAATTTTGTCTGCCGTTGGTAATTTAGATTTTTTCTTTCTAGGTAGTTTTAAATTGCGATGCTTGCTTGACTCATTTGTTTACGATTTTACGCGTTATAATTTTGCGTGATTTTTGTTCACTAAATGGAGGCTTTCAGCAACAACGAACTCGTAAATGATTAAAGGAAGACTGTTAGTTTGCTAGTAAATTCAGAATGCCGGGATTAATTTTTGTATAAGCGATTAAGGTAACTGTGGCTGAACGTGCGATCGAGTGGATGATATAAACGTGTTTATTGGCGTCGCACTCATCGAAGACTAGATTTTAAAGTAATATAGATTGTTCGATTTATGTTTAATCTATTTTAAAAACCGTTATTTAGTTTTTATAGTGTGCAGGATTTTTCGGTAACTCTACGACACAGAAAATGTGCAGAAAACTGCTGGTAGCCCTCGATTTCGATCACACGGTCATTGACAGTAATTCAGACGTCGAAGTGCAACGTTTGGCGAGGGGCGGGGAAATACCGACCGAAGTACGCAAACTATACTCGACTCACTGCTGGACGAACTTCATGCAGAAAGTGTTTGAAACGCTGCATTGCCAGGGCATCTCAGTCGACCAGTACAAACAGTGTCTCCAGTCGCAGAAATTTGTACCGGGAATGAAAGAACTTCTTGTGGATGTCGGCCAGAAGAACAACATTCAGATGATCATTATTTCTGACTCGAACAGCCTATTCATTGACTACATTCTTAAGTTCCACAGCATTAATGAAACTGTAAGCGAAGTGTTCAGCAACCCGGCATACTTCGATGCGTCCGGCTGCCTGCGGATCAGGTACTATCATCTGCAGAACGATTGTCCGTATAGCAGCATGAATCTTTGCAAGGGTCAGGTTTTGACTGAGTACTTAAACTCTAAACGCGACGACGGCCTAGTATTCGATTCTGTAATTTACGTCGGAGACGGGATGCATGATCTGTGCCCGGCGCTCAGACTCCGTGCTAGCGACCACGTGTTCGTTCGAAAAGGCTACGGTTTAGAAAAACTGATAAGCGCTCCAGACAGGACTTTCAGCTTGACCGCTTCCGTTCACATCTGGAAGACTGGTTTGGAAATACTTTCGTTTATCCGCAGTCTGAGCGATCTGAAAGAAACCGTCTAAGGCTTGATCACCTGCTTCTGATCACGTGGTAATTATCGATACAGACGCTAATATAATGACTCTGTAGCAGCTCTCCTTTGAACAGTGTAATATTAGTATATGACGTGAGGAGTGAAGGTCACCGTCTATCTTTCGTATTTTTTTCCTGAAGAAGGCAATAATGAACTGTAGAGGCGCATCATCATCGCATTAATGGGTTTAATGGTAATATTTTGTATCATGACGAGTTTGTGCAATGGTTCTTATTTTTCATAGACTTTTTTGTTCGACCTGTTGCTTGTTGGTTTCGCATATTGTCATTGTCGAGAGTTCATGCCTTGCTGTATGAAACGATTTAAATATGTGCTAAGGATGATTTGTAGCTAAGTTTCTTCACAGGGCGCGCCTGGAGCACGTTTAATTATTTTTGAATCAAGGAATCATTGCGCTACAGGTATTGTATCACTTTTAGTATTTAATGTGAAGTAAAATTTTATGCAGCTGAACTAATTCGAAAAAGGGAAAACGTAATCAGCTGTAAAGATTGAAGTTTGCCTCTGACTTATTGAAAAATTCTACAACTGAAAGGGTTGTAAAAATAGCCGTAGCTTTCATCAGCCGCAAACGTTCGACAAACGAATGGATTTAGCGTAAAAACAGGAGGTCATGCATCTTATTTTGTTAGCATCTTTCTCCAGCGCTCTGTGGAAACGTTCGCAGCTGAATGTGAGCAGGCTGGTACTCGCGTGTCTAAAACGTAGTCTAGTGCCTTCTCGT